TTGGTTTAGGTATAGATATAACTTATAGTTTTTCTTAAAAATACTTTTTTTATATAAACTTTCTTAATATAGTTGCAATAGAAGCTTTTATATAACTTACTTACTGAAGTCCTCTTCTCTTCGTGAAGCATAGGGCCTATAAGGCTTTAACATACTGTTATGAAAAAGACTGTAACAGAATAGAAATAAACTGGGTACCGTCTCCTAACGGAGCGGAGCTCCGCGACTATAGTTGATCTTTTGTGCTGTTACAGAACCTAACCGAAAAAAATACATTCCGCTTTTCGAATAAAAGCTAAAATGTCAGCTATTATGGATCCCCTAATGTGAGATGAAAAAGAATATTTTTGGTAAGAATATAAATTGGTTCAGATTTTAATATACTTGTCTAGCAAAGAGACAGTTCAGAGTCATCTTATTTTATTTCACGTGTACTGCCAGCCACACCAAAACCCCGTCCAATTTTTATAGCTAACAAAGTATGAGCTTGAAATAAAAATTTGACAGCATCCTTAACCATCTTATTATGTATTATATTATAACTTAATAAATATATCTTAGTAGAATATCATATTAAATGATATATCATTATTATATTATATTGTATATATAACATCATATAAATGACAACTGAATATAGATTTCAAGAACTGTGTAAAGTGTATCTAACTTTCGGTAAAGCCATGGCTAACATCTTTACTTAATTTTTTAAAATTTTTTTGTTCAAATCTATTTACTATCAATATTTTTGTATATAAGAGAGGTTTCGAACAGTAGTAAAAATTTTTTATTATTTTAATTAAATGAATTTTTGGCTAATCATACAGCTGTTTTAAATAATATCTAATACCCATCATCAGTGGTTTCGGAATTATTTCTTGTATTTAATTTGTAAATAATTTTTTTCTTTTGAACTCGTACTCTGCTAAATTTAGAGTCAGTGTCCATTAAACAACTGACCCAAAACCGCACTTGACATTTTTATATATGCAATACGAGTAACTGGACAAGAAGTAGTAATAATTCATACTAAGGAAAACTTAGCTTGATGAGATAATTAATTTATGTCTATTTAGTTTAATATATCATTATTATACTATCATATTACCGAAATGATGAAAATTTTTGTTGAAATAAAATAAATGGAACAGAGCACATTTCAACATAACTATTCAAGAGCTATACTGGCGACACATTGGTCGCACGTAGTTTCCTTGTTAAAATTAGTTCATTACTAAACTTCAGAGACCAAAATTACACCACAAATGGAATAGTTTACAAACAAATGAAACTCAACTTATATACAGGATATCAACAAAATTAATAACTATATGCTTTATTTATAAGTAACTTAAGAGAATGTACACGTCTCTAGGGCAAGTGTTTTCGTTGCCTGAATGCCATTCAGTATATTTTTTATATACAATATTGAATACAACACACGGTGGTCATATCTCGCAGTGTTAAAGGAGATTATTAATTTGTTCCTCTAAATCTTTCCATACAACAGAAAAGCCTTTCGTTGTTGGCCTTTATACGCCTTTTTCTTGTTTAGTACCTACGAGTTGTATTGAAGATAAATCCCTGTACTCTACTTAGGAAAGTTGGGGGAAAATGTTATTTTTTTTTGTATAAAATACTTTGTTTTAAATTAAATTCGCTCCATTCTTATTGTTATTTGTCTTAGGAGTGTATGGAATAAATTGTTTCAAATCTCACTTTAATCGCAAGATAAAAGCGAACTGCGAATTAAAGTATTTTAGTTTGATTATAAAAAATTGCTTTTCCATTATCCTTGATGTGAAAAAATATAATAAATAACTACAATTATTTTAAAAGGAATAACACAAAAGAGTGCGGATAACTTTTTTTTCAGAATTTTCAGATTAATATTTAAAGAGTTCATTCTAATATTATATTTCTTCACATTTTGTATACTCAGATAAGCCGAAATTATTTCATTTACATAAATAAAAACAATGAATTTATTTGTGAATTTTTATCAAAGCAAAAATAATACCAAATTTTTTATTTACTTTATAGTTTTCTTCTAAGTTTAAACTTATTTAGCAGTTTTAGTGTGAAAGCATGTCATTTCAAATTTGCTTATGAAAAACATAAAAAGAAAACTTAAGATATAAATTCATCACGAACTCTTCAAGCTCCTCCACAAGTTTCCACATTCATCCAAATTTTATTATCAAAACTAAAAAATTACTTCATGAACTCTTCACACTCCTAATGGGATTAAGCATCTCTCTCCACTTATATTTTGTTGAAAGTCTTTGCATAACATATGCTTGCCATTTTAGTTATGGAGAAGTATGGAGAAGTTTTTATCTGATATCTCATGCTTCTTCTTGCGTTGCTACTTAGGACAATTTTGTACGTGCACCTTCAGTTCCCATTCGGTACGTCGTTTAGCTACGATTTTTCTCACATTTGCGTACGGTAAAGGTGTGCATTATTAGTGGAGATTATGGTACAACGCTACTAATGAGATTTATGGTGCTATGAAATTATCTATTATAACGTAGTATCTGATTTTTAAAGGAAGTTTACAAACTCCGTTTTCGATTCACTAAAAATATTCATCAAGAGTCAAAATGACTCTTTTGATTAATGACATCATTTAGTTATGAATATTAAATGAGAAACTTTATGTTTTCCGTATTGTTTTCTTAAATCACTATAAATTAAGCTAAGGAGTTCAAAATATTATTTTTCTACTCAAAAGACGTCAACTTTATGATGTCAAATATTCTCCATTACATATTTCAATAAAAGTTAATCGAACTTAATTTTTCTAAGAACTTAAGAAGTAAAAATTAAAAATTTTTTATATAAAGAAATAATCGTATATCATATAATTATATTGTTTTTTAGTCTTAGTTCATAAAAATTAGTGTTTTTCATCTATAATTATTTCTAATTAATTATGTGAACCAAATATGGTTGAAAAATTTACTCGTGATTTTATATATCACTGATATACACGGCGAAAATAATGCAATAGTCCTCGACTTTTCCAAAATAATTAGTGAGCATAGGCAAATAGACTGATATCGCATCTTTATAGGAACAAGTATTTGAAAACATATGAACAAATCAAAGATAAAAGCTGTGCGTCAGTAATCTGTAAGAAATCGGACTAAAACTAGTCCAAGCATTAGAAAACATATGAACAAATCCAAAATAAAAGCTGTACATCGCTGTTCTCTGAAAAAACGCACTAAGCCCATTCTTAACCCAGTTCATAATGTACAAGTACTACTACAAGGTCAATACTTTAAGTAGACTCTTGTTCTAGTGTCGAGCAAATTGTCTCACCATGCTTAATCTTGTAATAGACTTAAACTGGACAATCAGTTTTACTATATTTTCCACCAAGAAACCAGTTTTAACTTATGGAAGTTAAAACACTTTAACATAATACACCTGGTATAGTCAGATAATCATACTTGTATTATGTAAAAGTCTGAAGAAATGAGAAGTACCCTTGTCCTTTCCACTTGCTCTCAGTTGCCTTGTACTAACCAGTTATGTCTATAATTTGAAAAATAACTGCTTTGAAATTATGTTTGTATTATTTTACAAAAGAAAGAAATTTCAATTTGAGAAAGTGACCCATAACTTCCAAACATTCTATAACTTATAGACGATTATCATAAATCAACACCATATTTTCATAATTTGAAAGTCATTACAGTCCATCCAGCATTTCATTTTAAATATTTTAAATTTATGTAACTTCTTTTCTAATTATTTTAGACAAAAATAATTCCTAGATCAGTTGGTTAAGGTGCGCTGATTCTGAGCTTCATATTTGGCAGGACCCGAGTTCGATTCCTGGTACTTGCAGTCTCAAAAATAATTATTTGCGAATAAGTAAAATATAAAGAATTATTTCCAAGACCGACGAATGAAAAGGGTATTTGGCAATACTCGAAACAGCTGTATGGTCAGCCAAAAATTCAATTAATTAAAATAATTTAAAAAAAAAATAAATTTTTGTTGTTGTTTCACTTCTGTTCGAAAACCCCTTTAT